AACATAAGTTATTAAACAGAGTAAGTCTAAGTAAACTTACTCCTGGAGTAAAAAAATCCCTCTTATATATATATATATATATATATATATATAGTTTCATGTCTCTATGATTCATCATACTAATTGATTTTCTTAAATTTCATAGAGCAAGAATTTGATTGGCGAGAGAACTCACCTGTCCTTTCTTTTTATTGTCACCTTGAATATTTGAGATGTATCACCATTGTAAGAGGATTTATTAAAGGGAAAATAAGTCGTTTAGTAATTTAAACTATAAATCACAAACTATTATTTATAGTCATAAATTACCATTTGTTTATTTGATAGTGTAAAATTATCTTACTTTATTAGTGCATTACAATTAAAGTCTTTATTAAATGTAATTTTTCAATTCAGAAAAATCAGAAATTTAGAAAATATTTTCTATATTAATTTTGTGATAATTATTTAAAGAAGAAGTAAATTGGTCTCCTTTTTTAATTTCTTGATATATAATCATTTTCTGATCATAATTCCTTATTGTAATAATATTGCTTCCCTTATAAAAACAATTTCCTGGTCATTTTGAAATTATTTTAATTTAATCAACGTGAGACCTAATAATGGAAGTTGAAATAGTATGTACAAGATTTTAAGTATGTTCAAATCTTGATATTTTTATTATAACTTTGATAAATAAAAAAAATAATCAATGTGATTTTTATTTATTTATTTGTGTTATAAACGAGATGTAATTTAGTTGATGAGAAGTTTTACCTTATTTTTTTATATCGTAAAATTAGTCAACTACGAATCTCTAAAATATTTGAATATATTATCATACTAAATATTTGAAATGTGTATTATTATATTAGATAATTAATTGAATATAATTTCACAATTTAAGTAAAATTAATAATTAAAAAAATGAATGACTACTTTAAACAATAAAATAAATAAATAAAAATTAACATAAGACATTAATTTTATAATGCAACCTTTTCTCTCTTTTTTTTTGTCTTTTCAAAAACTACAGTTCTGAAAAATACAAAAACACTAATGGCATAATTATTATAAAAATTTAAAACATTTTCAAACAAAAAGGTGCTATGAAAAAAACACATCCAAAATTAATGGAACAACTAAACTATTAGTACAATAGTAATAACAATCTCATTACAATTCCCATGGCACATTAATATAAGGTCCCTTGAACCTATCTAAATAAATAAATAGTTTAAATATGAATATCATAATCCAAGCACAGATTATCTTACAACTGACTTTGGACACATGAAGAGAAGCAGGAAAGGGGCAATTATCTATAATTCTATAATCTATGGTAATATAACATGACTGCTGCAAAAAGAGCAAGAGAAAAATGGCTTGAGTTGAGCCCTAGAAGCAAATGAATGACACTGTTCAAACAATAATATTCCTAATGTTAGTAGCAGCATTATAAAGCCCGATTGTAGTGGCCCACAGCCTTGCCACACCTCAGAGCATTACTTGGAATTGGGTACTCATCTCTCCACGAATTTGTAGGGGAATAGACTCTAAGATAAAATTGCTGGCCCAAATACTGACGGGCCCAATTCTCAGACCTCACATTCCACATTCCCACATTGTCCAAAGGCATGTATAGTGCAGTCCATGACTTGGGATACACCTGTCAAACCAAACAACACTTTTCAGTATCTAAATAGTAATGTCAATGAAAATGGCATCTAACAAAGGTTCTCCCTATAAAGTATAAAGAAAATCACAAGGGGTAATAACAAACTTGATTACCTGAACTGTGGAACGAGAAATTGTATCTCTCAAGTTGTAACCTAGCCTGCTTGCTGCTGACCATTGCCCTCCATCCATTCTGCTCATTTCAATGAATAGCCATGTTATTATGAGTTTGATTTTAATGATTTTTACTCTATCAATCTATAAAAAAAAAAAAATAACTTTATATGCGATTTCAAAAGTAATTACTGCAAAGGTCATAAATTCTATCATACACAACAATTTATGATTGAATGACTATATAAAATAATTTCACACTGTCAGTACATTCTGATTAAATTGTTATATGTAGTGACAATATAAAACGTTTAGACCATTATTCAATTACAAATCATTATGTAAAATAAGTTTCTCTTTTATAACAATTGTCTTAAAAGTCATAATAACAATAATTTCTTATGAATAAGAATAGTGAGGTGAACTTCTTACCCTACTACAAAGAAGCTGTGGCCATCAATGTGCCATGACTGCACAGTATCTTCAGGATTCTCAAACACAACCTCGATGAAGCTTCGGAAATTGCTTTCCATGACAGAAGTCTGAAGGTAGCCACCACCACCAGTGGGGTTGTCAGGGATACTTCCAAGGTTGAAGACTCCTTGGATCTTGTAGTAATCGGCCAGTTTAAGTGGTGTATCAGCAGGTATGAAGGACACACTATTGACTGCATATCTCTGTTTGCCATTGATAATTGGAGCAGAATTTTGAAGTCTTATTGTGCGGGTTGTGTTTATCATACCATAATGGTAAGATCCTTGTGGATTAGGTCGCGGCCCACTTGCTGTCAGATTCCTCCTGAATTTATTAAATACATGATGTAACTTGTAAGTAATCATGGTATTGTGTTACATAATATATAAATTTCAGAGATCATATAACAAAAATGTTTGGCAATATAAAATCACATAACTTCTGTTATCATACTTCTTCACTATGGAAGAAGTTGATTAGATATCAAATACAATATTAATGTAGTTATGTGGTGGAACTAATTTATAGGATGTCTCAGTTTTTATGATTCTAAAGGATCAACTAAGGATTTTAGAGGGCTGAGTCCTTGAAGGAAAACTGCATACAAAATAATCAGCAAATAACATATAGCTAGATAATGGACAACAACATGAATATGTGCACGTAAGTATTTACTTGACTGAAAGTAAAATTGATTCCGGAAAGGCACGTGTATGATTTAGCATTTGAATATAAAATAAATACCTGAGAGAGCGAGCTTGGTTTAAGGACCAATCAACTTCAACAGTTGGTCCCCAAGGGAAAACACCAGAAACACTTCCTGCAGAGTTACTGTAACGTAAAATGGAGGTAGCATTCAACACTTGTGATGTAAATCGTGTTGTGACAACAATTTGGTAGTCTTGGGGTGGTTGATCAGCAGTAACCAACACGGAGTAAGTCTGCCCCAGATGAATGTCAAGTGAGTCATAAACGTTTTGGAGAGTGTGGGTCCCTTCCACCTCAACAATTGTCATCTTATGCCCTTGGATTCTGAAGTTGATGGAAGTGGTGAGCCCCACATTAGATATCCTGAATCTGTATGTCTTGCCTGAAGAAAAATAAAGTACCTCATAATTTAACATTCAATTATTCATCCAATTATTAAAGTTACATCTACTATGGTAATGGCATAACCTTTCAAGTAAACAAATTGCTCAATGTTGGTGGTATACCTTGATCAACTGTGAATGTGTAGGCATTGGAACCACGTCCATTGATGATAACTCCATCAGGGAAGGGAAGGTCACTTCCACCATCTAGAATTGCCCTCAAATCCTGCAAGAATAAACACAAACTTGTTGAATATTTTAGTGAAAAATGATATACTCTAAGCAACCAGTAGTAGTAGTATATATTGAACTGCATCACGTCAATTAAAACTATGTTTGGTTTACAGTTCAACGTGAAAAAAACCCATTCAACGCCAAAGCAACAAAATGTTGCTTCGTCAATTTTTGCTTGAGAATGTGTGAAATCCTGTTTGCCTTCTCAAACATGCACTAAGATCCATGTCCATTTTCCACGTTTAAGGAAAAAACTACTTTCAGTAGCTTCTGATTTGCATGTTTTTGGTGGTGCAAATTTTGAGGTTTGGACATGAATCCAAACACGCAGTAGCTTCTATTCATACACTAAAAACCAAATCCCTGACACATGTCACACACTTAGATATGATTTCTTGAACAGAGTAGATTGTTTCTTAGTTACATTGCAAGGAACACTAGAACTAATGACACTGGGATCTAACCCCTTTAAAGCGAGGAGATCAATACATTAAGAGTTCATTTGGTGGTTAGAATAGGGATACGATAATAGTAGGATAAGATAAGAACAGAATAAAGTTTAATCCTATCCAATATTTGACGCACACTAGATAACAAAGCAGATAACATTGTATTATCCTATCCTATATACGACATACTGCTAGATAATGATTATATAGGATTAAATTATGTTTCAAAGACAAATTAAGTGGAAAAGTAAGAATATATCTAACACTGATTTGAACTAAAATGTTAGCAGACTTAGACAAATCCAACAAAAATTATCCAAAGAAAGCAACTTACAGTGTGATTTCTCTTGTACCAGTCTCCTGCCAATATGGTGAAATCTCCTGCTGGAGGAGGAAAAGGTACTGGAATCATGGGGCGGCTCGCAATTTGGAATCCACCATAACCTCCTGCTGCCTTGTGGAATGCAAGGGAAGGGTAGTAGAAGTAACTACCTATCTGATCCTTCACTTGAAGAACATAAGTGAAATTCTGCCCCGGTGGAATTGGACAATTGGTACCATACACTCCATCTTGCCATGAGTTTCTCCTCTGCTGCACTCCGTTCCTATAAAGAATCAAGTAGTGTAACACTTAATTCTCCTCTCATGAATAATAGAATTTCTTTTTGGAGGGTGAACAATTATCCCTAGTCAGGAACCAAGGACTAATCCCTTAAGATATTGAGATCCATTTAGAGAATTGAAATTGTTATACTGCATTGTAATTCAGTCTTAGACTCTTGACATTGTTATTTACTTGTCTATTTGGTTTTCATTTTTCATTGATTTACACATCAAGCATTACCACAAGGCTTCCCTATGGGACTATGTGAGTATTTGAGAACAAGTTTTGGACAAAAAAATTCACGTCAATAGCAAACCTACAATATTCAGCTTCAGCGTCTTTTTGTGCATTTGATGCAAACATGCTCTAACTCTATTTGAGGGGGGAAATGCGAGATTCCATTCATGTATTATAGTGCAAACTCCACAGATTACATGAACAATTTAATATTTTCTACATCAGACGAGAGTATTTTACATTTCAATCAAGGGAGTGTCTATCGTCACTTTTATTTAATTTTATAAAATTCTCTAAATTATTATTTGATTAACAAAGAAGGGTATTTAAAATAAGAGTCACAATAAACAGATGAAAGTGACAATAGAAGCATCTTAAGATCTATTGAACCACATAACAGAAAATCCGTGACAGTTACAGTCAAACAGTTTTTAAAATCGCCCAGATCTAGGCATTTAGCATATATTATATTCCTATAAACCGAACCAACCATTATCCTTTTCCTGCATTATGCCTCTCAAACGACACCGTATCGTCAAATAGGCTCCCATAAATGTAGAATAAAACAGAAGGAAAAGGAACATTTTTCTGCATTTGATACTCTAAGCAAGAAAGAGACTAACCAAGATATGAGGAAAGGTTCATCCAAGCTGTTGAAAACATTGATAATCAAATTATCATTGGTCACGGCCTCGATTTGTGGCCCTGGAAATTGCCAGTTTATCAAAATCCCCTGCCATTAAGATTCACACACCATACAACATACATCAATTCCATTCTTAAGAAAAAAACCTGAGATTATGAAGATGAAAAATTTGAAAGAAAAAAAATAATAAAGTACCTGTTGTTTAACACCAAGAGGATAAATGTCACCATATGTGACATTCCAAGTGTAGAATCTATAAGGGTCCTCCCCTCTAGCACATGCCACAAACAACACTACCAACAATAAGACACGACCCACTCTTAAGGAACACCCCATTTCTTAATCCTTGGTTTCTCCTTCCCTCTGTAACACAAAGTGTGGATATGGGAAAATGACAACCTTTGAACCAACCAAGTTCAATATTTTTTGGACACAACAAACACCCTCTTTTCCTTTGTGCAAAGAGGTCACAGCCTACACTTTGCTTTTGCCTTTTGCTTTAGAATTCAATGATATAAAGAGTGACAATGTCGGTAGAGAGAGAGAAAGAGAGAAGCAAAGGATTATTGATTCTTGAACAGAAACAATGGATTAGGGAACCATCACTTGCATTTGCATGTGGTTGTGTGAGAAGTAAGCAGTGGCATAATTGAGCTGTACCCAACACTGCAGTACCATTATAAAGAGTGTCAGCAACCTCTTCAGACAGTGCCCCTTCGAATTGACCATTGCTAACTCATTCACTGGATTACCGTGTTAATAATATAAAAAATCAGAAAGAAATTTCTTTCCCAGAATTGAAAATTACCAGATCAGTATACAGCTACAATGGAATCACATTTACTTTTTCTATTAAAAGAATAACAATGCCTTAATGATGGAAGACTATTTTGTGCCAAATCCAAGGTTTTTCTTTTAAAATGATTAGCATCCAGCTTGATATAAATTTTTTTCAATTATTCATGCACCATTTTGCTACCAAATTATCGGTCAAAAAAATTAAAAAATAAAACTTTCTTTGTTTTTATAACCGCTTTTATTATTTTAAGCAGAGGGATGTCTTTAATACGAGAATAAATCTATTTATATTTATTTTATTGAATAATTTATATTTTATATTAATTTTTAATAATTTAATTGTTGAATTAAAAATATTTAATATATAAATTAAATTTATAAATTTTAAAAAAAATTAAAAATTATTTAATATCTCGTTTCATTAATTTAAATCAA